CATTCTGCTGGTTGTAATTCATTTAATAACACATTCAAACATTTCTTCTCAAAACCAGGTCAGTGTTTACCTGTGATAAACAGGAAAATCTAGTTCAGATCACATGTTTCTGAAATTACTGGAGTGTCTTCCATAAATTTAGGATAATAACCCCTTTAAAAGGGAACACCTAAAAATACCACACTACAGTTATATGCCTCTGGAAACCAGTGTAGTTTCAGTCAACATCATTTGTTTTTACAAGTGTGACATTGACCTTCGACCACCAAAATCTAATGAGTTTTTCTTTTAGTCAAAGTGAATGTTTGTACCAATTTGAATAAATTCCCTAAACACGTTCTGGAGATATTGTGTTCACAAGGCACTGGCTGGTGGCACAGAGCCATAAAAAAGTGAATGGTACTTTCAGTAATATGGAAAAATAAGTAGACCACAATATTTAGATTGTCAGAATAAGTTGTTCAAATCAGAGGTGCAAGAATATAAACAAAGCTGTTTGGACAAACTTCACAGGGCAGAGATGGAACAGTACAGTATGATTCCCTGGATTCAAGCGGCTTTTAGAAAATATGTCTTTATATCAAAATTCTTTAATCATTCACCTTTTTGACACAAAATTAAATCACCACCTTGCAAACATCTAAAATAATAAATCGTGTTTCACATTCAGCTTATAGCTCTGTAGAAATACATTTTATCACAAATTATGGAAACCAAACCAAAAGATGCAAGATGTAAAGTGAACATAGAAAATTCAAAAGGCATATTACAGACAAGCGTACATTCAATGTAGATCAGAAAACACTATGTTGAAACAGCAGAGGTCTTGAAGTGGTTCATTAAAAAAGTCACCTGTCAACCAATAAGACATTTACAGGTAGTCATTGGTTTGAGGCTTTGTGGAAACACACTCTACTCATCTTTTTCTTTTCATTGCAAATACCCACAGAATCTGGATCCATCCAGATAACATTATTCAGACATTCTTAAAAAGACCAAGGTGACACTGAGGTTTTTAACCATCGAAACAAACATCCTCAGTTAAACGCCTCTTCTCCTTCATTACCATCTAAACTGAACCTCTGAAACACAGATGTACATATAAATACATGTCATCAGGCTGATTTGAGCGAGGCTGGAGTTAAAGCTACGATGTGTGCCTCTGCCCATGCTTACAGCAAAGAACATCTAATGTCATGTTCATAACGCTTTGTTCACTTCGACTTCTTCAGGTAAAACGAAGCTGAGGTAACTGTAAACTTTGACGGAATTAGAAAACAAACATGTTCCATTCACCAAATCCATAACTTGTGGAGCAATCTACTCATTTATGGAATGTGATGCTGCCGGCATTTGCTCACAGATCACATTTGATTGAGTGTAGCCTGGTTAAAAATTGTGCTTTTAGTTTTTCTCGATCATATACATGGATTTAAGAGTGATGAAACATGATAGATTTCACCTGTGTGCGCGTGCTGCAAAATGGCAATGCACTGAATCAAAAACCCGACTGGACCTTTATCACCCGAACATGGACAAGAATTTAAAGAACAATCTAAGATGATCCTGGCCACCCACTGTATTGGGAGGTTTTGTTGTGTCTATCTGTCGACACGCAGAATTAATAGATTTAAATTTAATTTGTCCCTGCAGCCATTGGTCTTTTAAATGATTCATTGTGATGTATTTGTATTTGTCATTGAATTTATTGTGGTTGAATGTGGTTACTGCTGGCTGTATAACCAATTTCTGCACAGAGATGATTTACAAGTGTATTTACAGTATCTATCCATAAAGTGCATCAGATGAACCCTGGTTTCTCGCACATATTTAATAATTTGCACATTCATTTCTCATCAGCTCTCACTCAATAATAAAGAAATCCCCCAAATCCCAGCTAAAGAAATGTACATCACAGCCACCTCTGAAACATTAGTTGTCAATGTACTTTGTTTCTACTGTGTGACTGTTGCGAATGGAAAAAGGCCTCCAAGCCAGGACTTGCAAACAAGCAATACACATTGGCACCAGACACACCAAGTAGAACATCACATTGTGGAGGCTCGCCAGGGCGCTGGAAGAAGAAGATTTTTGTTACTAACTGCAGGGATTTAGACATCACTGTTTGACTTGTTGCACAGTATAACAATAATTATTTGAAAGTGTAAATGTAACAACAAGTGTGTAGTGACTGTGTCTATGTTAATGTTTCACAAGAAGGAAAGATTTAAGATTATTGGAAAATTTCTTTAGCTGTTTTCAGACCTGAGCTGCGGAAAATTCCTTTGGAAAATTTGGTCTGTGTATTTTCCAGAATTTGCATTTCACATATGAAGAAAGCCGCAGAAAGAAGTCTGGGTCAGACACATTCACAACAACTTGAAAATGTCCGTTATTAATTTCGTCCATCAAATTTATGAGGAAAAGGAGACTTACCTCAAAGCCTCTGTCTAAAATATGTTATTTCAGTATGAGCATTTAACTTATAGTTAAACTCATCCCTTTAACATTAAATAAGTTCTACTTCAATTCAAATGATCAAAATCTTTTGAAGTAATAAAAATAATAATACTGCTTCGAACTGGAATCATAGGGATCCACATTAAGATCACTTTTAGCCCATGTGTCTGTTTTACTTCTGTGTTAAAGATCATCTTCCCAATTTCCAGGGAGAAACTGTTTTTTCTCTTTCTTGGTGAAGGTTAGGTTATTAATGCATCATCATGCAGGTGAACTGGGAACTAGATGGACTGTTATTTATTTTTATACCAATTGAAACTACATAGTTCCGTGTAGAGGTTTGTACGAGAGTGAGACTTGAGCGATTTTCTGTCCAACCTTGACCAAGCCAGAGAGAAAACTAACTGAGCCTGACAGATATTCTGTTCTTTGTGTCCAACATTTGACTTATTTTTTCAGCTCAAATTTGCGTCTTTAAGGCAAGGAGGCGCGAGAAAGTGTCTGTACCTTGGATCTGCATTCCCTCCTTCTTCCTTCAGCTGTTCATATCCAAACTGGTTGAGGAGGCTGAGCACTAACATCGGGGCTAGAGACTGACCAGGCTTGGTGAACAGAGCATTTGTCCCAAACACCATTGAGGAGAGTGGGGAACTGTAGAATGGGGGGGTGTCATGACATAACAAAATCCTCAAAGAAGTTGAATTTGTTTGACTATCAATGACGATAGAAACAACACATTTGTTAGATTTATTTAGCCAAAAAAAAGCAGGATATGCTTTATGCTACCTTATTTATTGAGTATTGTAAAAACACAAAGGTTCAAAGACAATGCTGCATCAAACATTATATATTTGCATGTGAGGGATAAGAGGTTCAGTGTGCATGTTGGGTTTTTTCTTTACCTGCGGTTGTGCCTCTGCAGGTCTGTGTCGATGATGTCAGCCAAAGGCAAGCCGAAAAGACTGAAGGATGCCTGAATCATGACCCTGCATAGAAGACGAGGGTGACAGTGCAGTTATGTTTCAAACAAAATGGAGCGATTATATACAGTGATTGAAAAAATGGATGAATGTCACAAGTCTTTTAACTGCTTACATGTTAACAGTAAGGAAAAAGGCCAGGAAATAGTAGTGCTGAGGACCGAGTATTAGCATGATAGCCGCCATTACAGCCTCTATGTAGAAGGTGAAGAGGATGATCCTGTAGTAGCCAAGGTTGTGCAGCAGACTCTGACAGCTCAATACTAACAACTGGGCAGGAGACAAGGAAGGTTTAGGAACAAAACACAAAGCACACACAACACAAGCAAATGTGGAACTGCTTCATCAAATCGACAACACATGCACAACAAATACCCAGAACAAAACCAAATACGACAACACATTGGAAGTTGAAGTTTCCAGGGGGGTGTAAAAAATAGTTGTCAGCTTGGTTTGTGACTGCGGAAGTTACAGTCAGTTAGTGAGCATAATTTGGTTTTGTAGGAAAATGATATAAATGCTTATTTTAACATTGTGATTCAGACATTTTTTGCAGCTGTATAGCCTAATGTAAACCTAGCATTAGCCTTGCGCTTGTTCCAGTATGGTCCTTTAAGCTAATAGAAAAAAGCTAATCATTATTCACCAGTACTAAAGCTCTCTGTTATTCAAAAGTGTTTGTTTAAAAGAATGTTGCTAGTAGCACAATACCTGTGGACAGATGAATCCCGCTCCATACATGATGCTCTTGGCCAGAGATGGAAGCACATCTGGAGGAATCAAGTGCTCAGCAAATATCATAGTGAAATTGCTGAAGAAAGCCAACATGAAAACCTGGAAGAAGTTCATGAGCACAAAAAGCTGAAAGTCCCGATTGGCCAGGATTTGCAACATCAATGTCGTTAGCGGGTACATAGCAAACACTGACTGATTGCATGTCTGGTCACCACACACAGGGTCTTCTGTTTTAGACCCTTTGTTATCGAAGCGGCTCTCAACGTAGATGCCTGTATAGAGCATGCAGCCACAGCTTATGACAGCAATGAACACCGTGAAGGCTTGGAATGCTGAAAAGTCCTCCATGTTTTTGGACAGCATACCACAGAAAAGGACGCTGGAGGAGCCAATGAGAGATGCCACCTGTAGAATTTAAGTGAGGGAACGCAAAAAGCAAGGAGAGTTGTAGCATGTTAGCAAATGGGCCCACAGACAAAAGCTGATTGAGTGGTTCGACTTATAATGTCCTTACCTGGCAGTACTTTATAAGTCTTAGTCGATTCTGATGGTGGCTGGAAATCTCTGCAAACAAGGCACATTGTGCCAGCAGCACAAAAGTCAACATGGCATCAAACGCACACAGCGCCACCATCAAATGTAAGCCACTCAACCAGTCGTTAGGGGCATAGTTTCGCCACGGGAACCAGGCTATAAGGAATGACAGGGAGTAGAAGGGAGCTCCGTAAAGGATGGAGAGTCGTCGCTGAGAGCAGCAGGCCACCCGGGAGTTATCTTGCAGGTAGCCGAAGAGTGGGTCATTGATCGCATTCCAAACCATGTACATCACCTGCGGAGAGGAGGGTTAATACGATTGTTGAAAATGTGAGTTAATCAAGATCAGATCAGACATTTGCTTCTTCCAGCTAATGAAATTTGAGTATTTCACATAATAGCTTTAGGCTTTAGATAGTAGCTCAGATGACACAATGAACAATGCAAAGATTTCCCCTCAGGCTCTGCTGAGTTGCACTATCCATTTCAACCATTGTCAGATATGTTGGTCTTCTAAAATAATCAGTAGCTTAATAGATAGCATGACTTATTTTAAGTCTGATCCTTTGTTCCAAATGACAGCAGCCAGGTTCTTTAAAAACTTCATTTTGATTACTTAACAAGAAAACACTCGCCTGTGATTGCTGGAACGCTCCCTCTGAGATCTTGTAGTTGTTGAGGAAGAGTTTGACATAGTAGAAGCTGAATATGCTGTTGATCATGGTGGAGCCCAGGGTGGTCATGGCATAAGCCAGGGCTACAGGATTGATCCCGAACATGATGATCAGTTGTCGGACAATGCTCACTCTCCCGGAGCCGACACACGCGGCCGGGTTCTCCTGCACGGCCATGGCCTCTCGTAAGAGAAAAGAAAATCAAACAACCAGGATGTGTCTATTTCACACCGGTGTTGTTTCGCATCGCTGGTTTTAGCAAGAAAAAAAACCCAGCGCTGCTTCTGAACAAAACCGCAGAGCATGGGCGTCTGGAGGGTTTTGGTCTTTCCACTTAAATCGATGCGTGTTTCATGAAACAAGGACACGAGCTCAAAGCGAAAACTTGTCAAACTTGTCAAACTCGACTTTGTGCGTCTGTGCTGCAGGTAGGGGGGCGGGGCGGGAGTTGGAGACGGGCAAGCAAAACACCTGATTGGCCCGGGGTGTTATTTCCGCTTGCATTTGCAGCTTTGTGATTCGCCGATGGAAACTGTCTGTCAAAGAAAGAAGGAAGTTACGAGAACCAAAACAAATGTAAAGAAAAACATTTCTCAGTTCTTTCTCTCTGTCAGTTTTATCGGTGAATGATGATAAAAGTTCTACCGGATAAAATGGAGAAATATTACACTGTCAATTAAAAATAAAATAAGAATATTCTCCTTCAATTCAACTGCCACCTACCGGATGTTGTGGTGTATTAGATATTTGCCACGTTGCTGGAGAGAGTCGGGGTTTAACGCCGCTCTCACACCGGGAGGATGCAGTTCATCGTCCTGCTCGCACCGAGGCGGAGGGCGGCGGTGGAGCTGCTCCGCTGACCGACACATACACACCGGTGTGCCGGGTCCAGATGAGGCGGAGTCCTCCCTCACCTCCACCCGAGGCTCCAACATGTTGACGGACACGATGTTGGAGGAAGAGTTTGAGATGAACGGAGAGTCCTGGCACCACCCGCAGGACCTGGAGCACGGTAAGAGCTGCGTGGACGCGCCCTGTCCATCACTGCACACAGAGGAAAGCATGTCATCATCATCATCATCTTCTTCTTCTTCTTCTTTATCATCATCATCACCATCATCATCTTTATCATCATCATCGTGTGTGGAAACTTGTTTTATTGCACTCGAGCTTGTCAGTGAAGGAATCCACAACTTTTATCAACTAGTCATGTGATTTTTTATTTTTTATTTTTTATAATAAATAGTATTGATAAGGCGATTATTAACTAGGGCTGGGGGATTTGGCCAAAGGTTGTATCAAGATATATTTTCACATCAGTCCATATAGATGTATTTCTTAGTTCTAATCATGGAAATGAGTAATAATCTGCATTAATACACGGCCACATAAAGTGAAAAAAGTATGAACTTTTCTCATATATTAACTCCTATTCTTAATAATCACGATGAATGACAAATGATTATTTCTTTAAATTGTTTTAAGACTGATGTTTGTGATAAAGCCAAAGATTTGCATCAGTCAATATCTATTATTATCATGATGTCACATTATTATTTAAGTTTTTTTTTTAAAATAATATTGCAATAATTATTGATGTTGTTTATTGCCCTGCTCATGTAGTAACTATGTAACCAGTAAGATAGTAACTAACATATCAAATGGAGTGGAGAAGAAGTATAGTGGCACAAACAGGAAATACTCAACTACAGTAAAAGTACCTCTAAACTTGAGGTCAGTACTACTCAGTCACACTGTGCTGCTTCTCACTGATGAAGTACGTAGAGACTCACGCCGGTCATGGGGTTACAGCTGAGACATCCTGAGAGCTCTGTGTATCCAGGATTTCCTGAGGCTGTCACTGTCCCTGTGTGGATTGGTTTCTGGTAAACTTGCAGTTCATAAGGTTTTCATGCTGCTGACTAGAACACAAAGGTGGGAACACTTTTACTAAAAGATAGCACGCACGTTTTATCAATTATGAGACGACAGAGGAAAGAATTGTGAATTGCTCTCCTAATACGTTTAAATATGTGAATGTCAAAGTGAGAAGTCTGTTCTATCGGTTGTGTGTTTGTGTGTGAGTTAGAGCTGCACCATTGGAAGCCTGTTTATAGTCAGACACCTACTTCTTTCAGCTGCCTGAGTTTGGGCAATAAAACCGTGTCACATCTCGTGTTTACATTCTTTCTTCCTGTGCTCTGACAGATCTCCATTTGGCAGCCGAGCTGGGGAAAACCCTCCTCGACCAGAACCATGAGCTGGAGCAGGCCCTCCAGCAGATGTACTCCACCAACCAGGAGCAGCTGCAGGAGATAGAGGTGATACATGTTAGGGAAGAAGTAATCAGAGGGCTGGGGGCAGCATGTCAGTGAGGCATAATATTATCACGTGCTAATGTTGTATTACTCAGGGGTCTGGAAAAGAAGTGCCAGTGTGAATTCTTTAAATTGGATGGAGCAAAGCTAATCCTCACCAGTCTGACCTAGTGAGCCTAGTGCACGCTGCATCTTGTGCATCTACCTAATAATAGGAAAACGTTTAATTGCCTTAAACTGACTTATGAGCCACCTTACACCGTTTACTTGGACATTGTTCAACTTATGATCTTAATTACTCCACCAAGGAGGTTTTATTTAACCCCTGCCCTTTTGTCGCTTTGCTCGTTTGATGGTGGACTAATTCAAAATTGGTCAGGAAATAACCCAGTAAATTTTGGTCCGGATCAAGATCAGGGGGCAGATCTAGACTTTAGTTTTTCACTTTCTTTAACATTTCACTGTTTTCTCAGGGAATCATTCATGGATCTTGATGAACAAAACAGCCACATTTAGGGAACTGATCTGTACAATTATTTGCAGCTTAATTGGGCCTTGGCAGAGGTATGCGCTTGACTGAGTGCCATTCTAGTTAAGCTTTTGGATTTTCTCTCATTTGTTGGCACGCAACCAGTCAAAAGGCCAAATATGTCAAAATACAGAACATACATTACATTTTTATGTGCACTGATGAAACCAAGATTCCCTAGGAAGTATTGGATCTGAAGAAATATGTCAGTTTTAAGCAGTAGGGCACAGTTCTTGGTTTGCATGTGGGTTGTCGGTCATAGCTCATGAATAAACACCATCACGCCTTTGTATGTCAGCGCATCCAGTGCTGATCTACTTGAGTTGGAGGGCGTCGCATTCAGTGGGTCAACGATGATAAGAGCCTTAATTTGTTTTCAGTGGTGAGAGGGCCGGTGGCTTCAGGATTTATTGAGGTGGATATGGTAATCCCCATACGTCTCTCTGACCTTCATTCTCACGCCGTGTCTGCTGCTGGTCTTACTCACGGTGTTAATGACCATCTCAAAGCTGTGCTCACACCTGATCATGGGAATGCGACACAGGGCTGAGCTTCTGTCTGAGCACATTCAGTCTGGGATTTAAAACCAAATTTAAAAATGTGTAAACCACTTTTTTGTGGGTAGTTTTAAAGATGTTAAATAACCTTACATGTGATAAGCAAGTGCCTGATGTTTTAGGATTCGACTCATTACGAATCAACGTATTTCTATAGTAGTAGTAATCTGTAGAGTAGGTTTTCAATGAATTATTTAACTATATAATAATATACAATACATAAAGATATGTTTAAGTTTTCAGAGGCTAATTCAATCAGAACATTGAAGAAGCTGGAACCAGAGTCTTTGACTTTGGAAATGAATACAAACCATTAAGCTCCACACAAGTCATTTAGAGAAGATGACAACGACTCTGCGGACTTAAATCAAGCTAAGTCTTTGACACCTCCTTTTCTTGTGCACCAGTACCTCACCAAGCAGGTGGACCTGCTGCGTCAGATGAACGACCAGCATGCCAAAGTATATGAGCAGCTAGACGTGGCCGCCAGGGATCTGGAGCAAGGCAACCGGAGACTAGTGCAGGACAACCGCCTGGCCCAGCAGAAGATCCACAGGTCAGTTCATCAGTTATCAGTGAAATGAAATTAGATTATTTAGTCATAAAGTCTCAACATATGTGCAGAGCTTTAGTGTGATATTATGTTTGCTCTCCTTTCCACTGCAGTCTTACAGAGACCATTGACGGGCTTCAGACCCTCATGGAGGACTTGCAGACCCAGGTGGATGAGCTCAAGGCCGCCCAGGTGGAGAGGAACAAAAGAGAGGTGTCCGAGCAGCGACGCAACCTTGGAGCTCAGAGTGTTTCCTGTCTCAAAGAGCTGTATGACTTACAACATGAAAGGTTTTTTTTTTTCATTCCTTTATCATGGCGATTGTGATTAAAATACCATGCTTTCATATTTATGGTCTAACTAAAGGATTTTGAAATGTAGACTAAATAATTCATCATAACTTCTTAACCTATAACATCTAATTTAAGTCATTTTTATGTGAAATATTTATTTTTCCCGAAAGTGATGTCTCACATTTACTCTTTGTCCCTCGACTCTTGAATCAGGCACCTAACCCCTGATAGTCTGCGCGTGGGCGGACTCTGGTTACAGCAGGGCTCTTTCTGTGACCGAGACAGACGCCAAAACCCGGAGGAGGAGAATGTGTCCCTGCAGCGCTCCATACAGACCCTTCAGGCCCAGATAGCTGCGGAGCGGAGCCGCAGGGAGGCTGCAGAACGGGAGAGTGAGTTGACAGCCAGTGAGAACGTAGGTCTGGAGCAGCGGCTGTCTCTGCTGTCGGGTTGCTGGACCCGGCAGAAGGAGCTGGAGGCCGAAGTGGAACAGCTGCGACTTCTGTGGCGTGCTGACTGTGCCAAAAGGTTAGGACTGAATTGATAATGGACTGTATTCAAATTGAATTACCTTGAAACTGTTGCACTTTCAGTCTATTTTACAACTTTAAATTTACAGCACATTTATGTGCCACTATCAGGTGTATAATCTCTCACTATTCTTAAATGTATGCCTCTATGTTCCCTCCATTTCCTCCAGTGTCAGAAGGCCAGACCAGCTCCTGTTGCCTGATACAGTATTCTTTGCCTCAGAAGAAAAGCCCAGCCCAGTGCAGAGTGACGCTGAGGAGAAGATAGAAAAGGACGAGGAGCAGAGACGATACAGGCGACAGAGGTGTAACAGTGACAGCGTTTTGAGAGCAGAAAGTTCAGACGAGATTCGCCGTGGTCACGAGCAGCTGTGTATACGGCGAGCAGAGGCGGTAAAACAGAGGGGCATCTCTCTGCTCAATGAGGTGGATGCACAGTACAGCGCCCTGCAGGTATTCATAGCACATTTGGAAAAATTGGTGTATTAGGGCCATTTTAATCCGAAACTTTCTTCCTAAGAATACTGTTAAGATGTCAAAGAAACCGAAAGCACTTTCCTAAGGAATGCATGTGTTTTCTAGGTGAAATATGATGAGCTGCTGAGACGATGCCACCAGGCGACAGACGAGCTCAGCCATAAAGCCGTCCAGACATCCGTTAGTCCCTTCGGAAGCATCCGGATGCGGCGCCGCCTGTCCAGCTCGGCCGCTTTGTCTGGTCTGACAGTGGTCACGGAGGATAGCCAGCAACCTGAGTACAAGGCTCTCTTCAAGGAGATCTTCAGCTGCATCCACAAGACCAAAGAGGACCTCAGCGAGAATAGACATGCAGACAGGGACATTATTTCTCATGATTCTGCCTAGTGATTGCATTAACCTTCATCCAGGGACATGGGGACGGAAGTGGTTTGTCTCTCTTTGAAACTTTGAGGTGGCTTTGCAATATTAATATCTACAAGCTGCGGATGCAATAAGCACAGTGCGTCTTAGACACGCTACAATCCTCTTATCTCCTGTCTTGTCGGCGCACCTATATTTATGTTAGTCAGCACTGTTCCTTTTATTCTGTCCTTATAGAAATTAAGTGTTATAAAAATTGTTGTTGATGCAATAATGCATTCCAAAGTACCACAACAAAAGTTTAGATAGTAAAGTTGTGTTATATATGGAGACATTTATAGTTAGATTAACTTGTACTAACTGATCCTTGGCTAATTCTATAGCTTTATCTCCAAATCTACAAGTATTATATCCACCAAGCAGTTTTAATATAATGTTAACCCTGTGACCACTTAATCATTTGGTTTGTGGGAGAGAAACACACACACAATATTGTTTGCGTTGATTAAAGATGGAGACGTAGCTGTTATATATGACTTATGTAAACTGAAATGTTGGAATGTTTGTAATAGGATGAAAAACTGTGTAACAGCTAAAGACTCAGGAGTTTATGATCATTAGATTAACAGCTAGTGAAAGTTGGGTTTTGTAAGTTTGGCAGAAGAGGATCATTAGAAAGTCACCAGAAACATTTAGCCTGTGATTTCTGTTTTCATGTCTGTACACAGCTCAGGCTGCGACGGGTGTCTGTATATGCCAGTAGTACACATAACCAGCCTTGCACTCTTAATGACCGAATCACAGTTTCTGTTTTATTTATTTTTATATATGACGTATAGAAGAGATTAAATGTTATTTATTTTCTTTACCGCTAAATATTCAGAGCAGATTGTTCCACTGAGTGGAAGTGAAATAATATGTAAGCTGAGGTGCTTATTTTGGTTGTTAACATTCTCTCTGATACAAGAGAGAAAAGAATAATACAATAGAGGTAAATGGAAAGCACAAAAGAAAATGTTAATGGACAATCTCCTTTGCCTCAAATTGTTGAAATCTTTCTTAAAGCTTGAAAACTCAGTTCTCTTGATGAGGACCAGCAGATCATCATTCACAGCAGAATTAAATTTATAACTGATTATTCTTATAACCTTTTCTGTCTAAATCAAAAAGCATAGATATTATGGGAACATTCTCTCATATGGGAAAAATATTTATTTTTTCCCAGACCTCAGCTGTTGTTGACTGAATTCAAAACAAATCTTTTACTGCTGAGACTCACAGTTACAGACATGTATTTTTTCATATATCACTTGCACTTTCCCTGTGATATGATGATGCTGATGTTTCTTCTGAAGCTGTGAAGTATTTACTGTATACTGCTGCAGAACATAACAGTGTATACTTAGAGGTGTCCTCAATGAAGACTAACATGTTTTTGCTTGCAACTAACTAGTAAAATCACTGATGCAGGAGCCTGTTGTGTATCACGTCCAGTCTCTAACAACACTATAAATAATATAACTGAGATGTTCCAACATGTGCTGCCTTCTTTTGAATAATCATAACACAAAAATGTGTCTCTGTGTGTGGCAGGTTGAGGTAGAAAAAAAACAAATACACAACTGTACTGAAAGCATTTCCTCTCCTGCTCTTTCCCCTTGTGTCCTCTATGGCCCAACAAACAACTAATGGGGCTTTGTCTAATTCTGGTTTACATAACTGAGATTTCTCCACCCTGACTCCAAATCCATTAAACCTCCAGACAAGCGGATTGCATACCCTGCTCACCTAAAAGGGGCAGGTCTTGGCAAGACCATAAGCATATACACACCCACCGTCTTACATCATCAGTTGTAAAAGTCTGAGGTCTGAGTCAAACCAAACATTGTGTAAAAATGTAATAATACAATCGTCCCACATGACAAGAAGAAACCGTACAGTGAAATTAAAATAAAGGTAAGTTGGCTCTGCATTCACTGCATTCACAAATCACAATGACAACACACAGCAAATTAGAAAACAACACAAAATGAAAAACACAACAGCAAATAAAACACAATTACAAATATGAAAACAGCAAATAACAAAACACAATTTTTGTGACTTGCTGTTGTTTCCTTTGTTTGTTGTTGTGTGATTTGCTTTTGTAATTTGCACTTCAGTCACTGCACCAGCCCCATTCTTATCGACTGAAACAATGTGCACTTACTTACAGCTGCTCCTCTGTGTATGAGGTTCGATCACCTCTGGTTCAATGGTGGACTCACAAGAAACAACACAGAACCCTGGGTTTTATTCACTACTTGTACCATGTGCACAGATCCTCAATGAAGCGATACATTAAGATTCATCATTTTACATTTAATAATATATATTCTAAAGTCATTTTAAGAAGTCATAGAAAGGTGTACTGTGTATAAAAATGATTAAAACTACATGGACGTTCTCAGTGGTAGCGTGGCCGAGTGGTCTAAGGCGCTGGATTTAGGCTCCAGTCATTTCGATGGCGTGGGTTCGAATCCCACCGCTGCCAAGTTGATTTTGTTTTGTGGATCAGTCTCATTCAAATTACAGATTCTCATTTCTACGTAGTTACGTAAAAACATTTAGTATCGATTACACATCACCGCTGACAACATCATCAGCGATGCTAGTGCGCCCCCTTTTGGCTGCATGAATATGCACAAACACTCATCCTGAAACATCCTGAAATCACAGACTCATCCTGAAACATCTGAAAATCACAGACTCATCCTGAAACATCCTGAAATCACAGACTCATCCTGAAACATCTGAAAATCACAGACTCATYCTGAAACATCCYRAAATCACAGACTCATCCTCAAACATCCTGAAATCACAGACTCATCCTCAAACATCCTGAAATCACTGACTCATCCTCAAACATCTTAAAATCACTGACTCATCCTCAAACATCCCAAAATCACTGACTCATCCTCAAACATCTTAAAATCACCGACTCATCCTCAAACATCCCAAAATCACTGACTCATCCTCAAACATCTTAAAATCACCGACTCATCCTCAAACATCTTAAAATCACTGACTCATCCTCAAACATCTCACACTATGTTGTCCAGCTCTTCGTATTCATGTCATATATTCAGATTTTCAACCAAAAACCAAAAACCTTTTCCATTTCAGTAGAACGTCATCAGTAGAACTTCAGTAGTAGAACTTCAGTAGTAGAACTCGTTGCTGATTATAAATTGAAAATGCTCATTGTCTTTCATTGTCAAAGCTTTTATTTCTAAAAAAATTACAAAATGATCAGATAAATATCAAACTCTAAAGATGTGTAAAATCTCAACAGGTCTTTATCATAGAATCATAACGTAGCTTAAATACACTCAATCAACAAGTTCATATTTGAAATACTATGATAGGAACTTCAACCGAAGAGACACAACTCAGGTTCAACACTTTTCAGCAGCCTGGAAGATTCATCATTTTGAAATCAGACACACACTAACATCAGAAAGGTGGAAGAGATAGTTTACTGATTTAATTTTAAAGAAATTACATAACTGGACATTCTGGAAACTGTATTCTGGAGCATATTTAATTGCATCTATGGTGAGAATACACATAAGCAAAAACAATTTATCACCTAACAAACAAGGGTCTTATATTTCAATGCCAGATTATAGTACGTAAATCCGTCCAGTGCATCATGACCACATTTAGCTCTGATCGAGTGACCTGGACAACACTAGCAGCAGCAGAGTGAAACCCATCAGCAGCAGCAGCAGCCGCACAAAGTGTCGGGGCAGCTGTGAGCTCCAGGAGAGGTCGAGGAGAGGTGAGGTGGAGCGAGGCTGCTGGGACTTCAGGCACTGCTCCACAGAGTCCGCCAGGCTGTACGGCTTCGGACAGTAACCCAGCTCCCTGTGGGCTTTGTCGATCTTGAAGGTGTGGCTTACAGCAATGGTCCTCACCTACAGCAGAAGATGAGGCATTAGTTATATTTTGTATCTCAGCCGTAGAGAAGTTCACTCTGTCGGGCTAATGGCTCAGATGAACCTTGGTCTCACACTCGTCTCACTGCCTGGGGTGAGGTGCCGCACTGTGAGAGAAGAGCTCAGACACAACTCAAAACTCTTCATCCTCCCACAGGAGTCACTTCCTCTTCCCATTTGATACACAGCTCTGCAGATCTCCCATGTATGACTCATTCGTTTAGTTTTTGCACATTGATCCACCAGTGTAACTTCACATTTAGAAAAACAAACTGTGGAGTCCTGCCCGTCCTGTCTGACCTGACAATCATCCACACTGACTATTTTTATCTCCCTCTGGTAGCAGAACGAATCAGTGTCTTCAACGCTGCACACAGACACTGGCGATTCTCAGAGAGGTAGTTTGTGTTGCTGCTAATCTGAGAGAGTCTATGCCAATGAAAATTAGTTTCAAGCAACAAAAATGACAATAGTTACTGTAATAAGCCAGTGTTTCTAGATAGATAGATAGATAGATAGATAGATAGATAGATAGATAGATAGATAGATAGATAGATAGATGACATCTACCTGCTGGGTGCAGCCGTGCTGTTTACATTTTATTTTGACATGTGAAACTACGTCTTCCCCCGGGCATTTGCGAAGAGGAAAAAAAAACTCCTCTGCATGTCACGCTACAGTTTAACCTGAGAGTTGGCAGAATCATTTGAGCCCCAGCGGTTTACCTGACTCGGCTCACCTTGGAAACAGCCACTGTCCTGAGGTCACTTCCTGTAAACATCTTCTTGCACTTCCTGTTCTGACTCGCAGCAGTTTATGTTTTATTCACAGGACAATCATCGATCCCCCAGCCAGCAGCTGTCTGAGAGAACGAGCTCCAGGTGAAGGCCCACAGCACTCAGCTTTGGTTTCTGCCTCATCACACATTCATGAGGACCTTACAGGCCACGACGGCGGCTCCTTAAGATGCATCGTAAACCATCAGTCTGATGCAGAGTAATCATCGTGTTTATTAACAGTGCTAACAGACCAGCAAATGCTCTTAGAGGGCTTCCAGTGACTACGACCACTTTGAAATGTCATTATCTGCTAAATTCAGTTTTTATCCACTCAACGCTCACTATGGTTTTCCATAATTTATGAACAAGAGGCCGCAGCAGACAAGGGAGGAGGCGGGCGCAGACGGACTGATAGGAAAATACTCGTCCGAGAGACTTAAACAAGAATCTACTGATTATTGAGCAGGTAACCTAATCTGCAGCACAAGACACGTACTTTATTTTAGGCACGCATGCATATGTTCACATGCAGCTCCACAATGTGCAACTCAGAGTCACATCTTCATCATCTATAATGGATCTCAAACAGTTCACTCAGGGGCAGACAATGAATGTACAAACCATGGGCCTAAAGAGGCAATAAAGGATAAAAACACACACAAACTCTCGAGCAGATCTCCATCATTACCTCATTTCTGGTAAAGAGGAGAGGTACTTTTATCACCGGCCTCAGAACTACATGCAAGTATTCCACTAGGATGGCTGGAAATAGAGGATAAACATACATGGAGTTAGTCATTGTAAAAACATTTTGAATTCTCAAACAGATATGGTGTGAGGAAAAGCTACAAGAAGCCCAGGTTTGAAGAAGAGATGAGCTACCTGCTGAGTAGACCAATGAAACTGGCAGGTTTATCAATGGTCTGCTGTAGCCCAGCTTTTCAAACTGCAAAAGAATAAACGTAAAATAAAGGGAAGTCAGTTTCATTAGCAAATTTAAAGTAAACTGTAAATATCAAATTGAAATTTCATACATCAACAAATTCAATGTTAAGACCACAGGAAGCTAGGGCTGGTTCATTTTGCGGTTGTCCTCCAACCAGAAGGTCGGAAGTTCGATCCCCAGTCTTCCCATCTGCATGCCAAAGGGTCCTTGGGCAAGATGCTGAACCCCAAATTGCCCCATAGAACAACAAAAAGTGCTGCTAATAGATGCACTGTATGTATGAATGTGTGTGTGAATGGGTGAATGGCAAACTGTAGTGTAAAGCACTTTGAGTGGTCATCAAGACTAGAGAAGCGCTGTACAAAAATACAACCATTTACCATTTAAACCTCAATCTTCACTTATAGGAGCAAAAATAAACTAAAAAGAAATAACATTTTATCGTGATAATTACCAATAGCAACTGACATGAAAATTCAATATATTTTTGTCTGCCTAGAGTAATTTTGTAAAACAGCTGATCACTGTAGTTTTGTAGCAATCTTTACTCACAATGCGTGAGTAGCGCTTTTGATGGGGACTACTTTCAGCTGCGGATGAATGCACATTTAGTGTTCCAGTGAGTATTTCCAGGAGCAAGTGATTTGGTGGACAATAAGGAACACACAGAAGATCACTCTCCTCATCCTTTAACTCACCAGAGGTGTCAGCCACTCAAACAGGTTGACTGAGACTCCGTCATTAATGAAATAAGCCTGTCCACTCTGCAGAGGAACAGAAATGAATGAGTCAAAAACAAAGGATCGCATGAAAGTGATTATTGTTGGTCTTGGTTCTTGTGCAAGAAAAAACACCACAACTCATCTTTCACGTGGCGTCATTCACTTAAATATAACATGTTTACAAGTGAGAAAGTGATGAGATGAAAGCATTTAGAAGTAATTCTGAATGGTTTCAAAGTTTTCCGATCACAAGAACGTGTGTTTGTCCTGCGGTGGATGATGTGACTCACAGCAACACAGCTCCTCTTCAGTGTGAGGGCCTCGGCCGCCAGCGTGTGGGCCAGAACCAGGTTGTCGACGTGGACCCAGTTCATCCTGGCCTGCGGGTCCCCGAAGCGGAAACTGAACAACCGACGCTCCACGTTCACCTGAGTGGAAGTGAGAGATGACTGCTGGGCCATGGCGGCGGTATACGCTCTAATCAGTGCCATTCGTGTTGCATCTGATTTGAACCTTTCTGGTAATAAATGTGAGCCAACATTAAAATCTTGCAGTCAATTATAAAGTGTGCTGTGTGTTATATTAATATTGCTGCTGCTATTTCAGTTGTGCAGGAAACAGGTGGTATTCACTACAGCCACACGTAGTCTGGGAGTAAACAGTGTCAGATGGAGACAACAGTTTTTCAGTGTGTGAGTGCTGTGTTTCTTTTATTTTGGCTTAGGTTTTGTCTTTTTCATATTCTTCTTGCAATGCACTCAGCCTTTTCTCTATGTTGATAATTAGGGCTTAGTAAAATATCCAGTCGTAGACATAGATTCTGTCTTTTTTGCACCACCACATGTTGGACTCCCTCAAGTGGCAATTTGTTGTTTGGCTGCCACTATGCAAATATTTGGGATCCAGTATCTTGTCCAGGGAATGAAATCAGGAATTGAAACACAGGCCCTCTGGTATGCGGGCGATCCTCTCTACTACCTGAGCCACAACCACCCACTGTACTACAATAAACTGAAATGAATGGCTCTGTAGATATTCAAACCTATGATGTGAACTGATGAGTATAAACAATCTGTAGTTTTTGGGGCCAAACATATTTGAGCATAGAGTGTTTACACACATATTTGTTCAAATTCAGTCCTCTTAATAAACTCAGAACCTCTGCCACATACAGGAAACACTGGAAAAATTGTGGCTGTAACCAGACGCCCCGAGAGCTCCATCAATAATGTAAACACTTCAGGCTGGACCACATCCTGCCAGGGAGGCTTCAGACACTGACACAAAATGTGTATTTTTTTCCAGCGCCAATGCAACAGGAATTCATCTTTTAATCCTACATACAATAAAGACGTCTTTTGTTTGAGTCCCCCACCATCACTCTGTGGAGATGTCTCCTCTCCTCTGGTCCATAGATGCCACAGGGTCGCAGGACACAGGTCTGCAGCAGCTCACCACCTTCACAGGATAGAAAACAAAACTTCACCAAACGAATATAAAGATTACAAATCTTCTGAAACATGAAGGAATATCATCAGTGAAGTGGTCAGTAAGACAGGCTCAGGTGGTTTCCTCTCTGATGCTGTCAGTTCTTTTCTTTTGTGTATCATGTTCATAAGTGTCCTTCATCAGAGCGAATACCTCCGCCACGGTCCCCATAAATTCAATCCGGCAAAATGTACATGCTCATAGATCAATTCCTTAAATGTGCCTGATTTTTCCGTCAATATCCGTGAATCATTCCATGGGA